AGCCAGCGGAGGTTTATCCCGCTAGCATTGCGATAGCTAGCAACTCGGCTCGCTAGCTTGCTAAGTTGAAGAGTAGCATTCTTGTGTGTGAACTGGAGGAGTGGGACAACCAGTCTGCTGAGCTCTGAGATCTGCCTTGGCCAGTAATGTAGCTGCTTTTCTCCTGGGGTGAGTAAATCAATCAGTAATCACAGTGTAGTTGCAAAAAATGAATGAATCATGTTGTTGACGTCACCAGAGAATCTCAACGCTGATTGGCCATCGCGGCACGTCAGATCGCAAAAGTTCAGATTTTTCAACTTTCTCTTGTGACGCGTGTGACGCGCATAACGTGCGATAAGCGCGTATCACGCGTCTAAATTGCTTCAAACGCGCGTCAAGCTCGCTCAATTCGCATCTATAATTGCTCAAGTCAAATGTCAAGGACATTTGCTCACGTCTAAACGCGTCTTCACATTGATTTTACATGTAAATAATTCACGCTAATGATTTTACTCGCGTCTGGTGTGAACACAGCATTACACTTCTTCGTCTGTTTTTTCAGTTGTTTTTGTGTGATCTTCAATAACTCCCTGTCTCCATCCCTGAAAGCTTTCTTTTTGATGTTCAGCAGCTTTTTCAGGTCACTGGTGATCCAGGGTTTGTTATTGGGGAGGCATCTCCCTGTTCTTGTTGGAACGATGCTGTCCACACAGAAGTTTATATAATCTGTCACACACTCAGTCATGGTGTTGATGTTGTCTCCATGAGATTCACAGAGGTTCTCTGTGATGATGGTTCCTTGTAATGCCAGGCTTTTCAGAATGTCCTTGTAGCTCATTCCCAGCCTAAAATAAAATTCTATCCTGTCCCCAATGTCCATTGTGTAGCTTTAGCCCTAATGCCTGGCTCAACCTTATACATATTGCAGAGAAGGTGTGCTCGATTTGCTTACCCAGTTGTCCAGGAATGATAATAATATTATACCTACTTCGTGGCCACAAATTAGTATTTCGTGTGCACGTTATACTTATTTCGTGGCCACAATATAGCTACAACATGCACACGAAATAGTATTTTGTGGGAACGAAGTAGTACTTCGTGTGCACAAAATAGTATTTTGTGGGAACTCCGTAGGATTGCAAGCTGTTGTTTAGAATAGAATAGAATAGAATAGAATAGAATAGAATATACTTTATTTATCCCAGACCTGGGAAATTTACACGCCACAGCAGCATCCAAAAATAATATAAAGTACAAGAAAATAACAATAATTAAGTAATATGCATCCTGGTGTCCGCACATAGCAGGTCCAAGGCCCTACCATCTCCGGTTGGGCAGTCCACATACTGGCTGAATGTGGGGAGAGTGGTAGAGAGCGATGTATGATTAAAGTCGCCTGAGATGACGATCAGAGACTGAGGGTGTGATGTTTGCAGCTGGGACACTGAACTATGGATGAGTTCACAGGCTGCAGCAGCATCAGCCGAGGGGGACAGGATGTGCGAAAACTCCCTCGACAGGTAAAACGGCCGCAAACCAACCACCAGCAGTTCAACATTCTTCGTGCAGCGTTGCTCTTTAACGCTAACGTGCCAGCATTATACCATTGTCAAGTTTAATCAGAAAATCGAACAAAAGAAAAGTTTCAAAAGAAAGTTGCCACTGCCCACCCGACCGGGATGCAGCTGGTACTAAAACAAGCGTGCCTGCCCGTCCTCCTCCACCTGCTCACCCTATAATTCCACTCACCTGTGACTCCCTTCAGCCTCACTGTCACTGTGGTTAAAAAACTTGACAGTTGATAACCACAGTGACAGTGAGGCTGATACAAATCAGAGAGTTCTGTCGGCGTGAAGAGGATTATCAAAGTGAACAATATACTACAGCAGGCACTAGGTCAATTATGGCTAAGGAAATGTTTGGAAGAACAATTAAACAACTAAAACAGGAGCGGACCATGACCAAATCTGCTTTCACCAAGCAAGCAAACTTTCTGAGCAGAGGTGCTCATGACATGACAGAGGCTGAATTGCGGGATGAGTTCAAAAAGCTCACCTCTGGTGCCAGATACGTAAGTCACAAAAATGATGATTATAAAGCTGGCCTATTAGCAGAGCGGAAGCCTCAGTTGGCGAACATGAGGAAGTGGAGCTTGATAAACCTGGATTTAAAATCCTGCTTCTAACATATAAAAGTCTTAATGATCAGGCTCCATCGTATCTGAAAGACCTGATTGTTCCATATTATCCTAGCAGAGCCCTTCGCTCTCAGACTGCAGGTCTACTGGTGGTT